CTCTGAGATGGGCATGAGAAAATGTGCTTGCATTTTTCCTTGTTGCGATCTGATGCCAGAGGTTCTTATCATGCATATAGTGTTTCCTCTGGTTTTATATCCATATTTAATCATGCTTGGGGAACTCATTTATTGGATTCTGCAGGCTCACCGTAGAAAGCATATGAGATCCTTGATAAGCTTAATATATTTGTATTAAAAATTAATATGAAAGCTATATTGTTTCCAATTTTAAATCACTATTAGACTTAATTCATTTTATTTAATATATGGCTACAATTCTGAAATTACTTACAAAAAAGACGGATGGGATGTAAGTCATTTCTGGGGACCCCTCTATTCCCGAGTGAGCCGCGTGCCTGTCGTGTGGCGGTCAGTCTACGTTGCCATTCCTCGTGTGACATTTGGAGTCTGTGTGCGGGTGCAGCACTCCCCAGGGAGCTTCAAGGGAGCCCTCCGTGAAAGATTATGTGCAGGCTCTCTTTAAATGCTACCATTAAAAAAATAAAATTTAATGGAAAGAGATAAGCTTTTCCCAACACAAGCTGGCTCTGATTTTATATTTCCTTAATCTGTTTTGTATGCTGCCGCAGGAAATTAAACCAGAATCGTCCTCGGTCACATGCATGTGTGTGGTGTGTGGGAGGGGCCGAAGGAAGAGAGACACAGAGCTGCTGGAAACAGTTGCTCTCGTCTGTCTGAGATTTACTGGGTCTTTATTCGGAGCAGGGTGGTGCGGTGAGGGGAAGCCCTCCTCATATTCCTACTGGGCTGGAGGGTCGTGCCAGGAGACGCACAGGGCTCTTCTGTCATCCCTGGAAACTGCCCAGCTCACCTGTGGGTCCAGGTGACACCTAGGGCTCTAACTCTGTCTAGCCGGCATGTCAAATCATCTCTCTCTCTCTCTCTTTTTCTCATACACACACAAAGCAGTCACTCCATCACTGAGAAAATTATAGTATTATTAATCACATCCAGCTCCAGTTTTTAGACAAATAATGTAGATTTTTAAAACTTCTCTTGAAGTTAGTCCTCTGCTCGCATCAGTACCCATTTCCTCTCTGTGTCTAACCAGATGACCCTCTAATGTTAGCATCGTAGATCTTACCAGCACACACCCCTACCCTACCTTTGCCTCCAGTGCCACATTCACCACCAAATAAGAGAACGTGAGATGAGCCAGCAGTGTCTTGACTAGGAAGATCCCTGTGGCCCCTTAGAGTACCTTGGAACCTTGTCCATCAGAACCTCTGCTTCCTCGCCTTGGTCACTGCAGGCTGTTTGCAAGTGGAGACTGTGCAGTGCAGCCATGGGTGGATACTGCGTTGAATCCTGAACGAGAGGTCACACAAGCCAGGTGGCCTTGAGAAGCAGTTGTTTCCACAAGGAGAGCGTTGCTGGGTGGTCTTTGTGGCCCTGCCTGAAGGAAGCAGGCTGGGAGGTGGGTGTGAGGCCTGAGGCTTCTACTTCCGCAATTCCAGAGTGACTGTGAGGCTGGCTGCATCCTGCTGACACTTGGGCACCTGCCACTCCCTAAGGGGTCAGGTCTGCCCGTCAGGTGGACAGGAAGACTCTGTATCAACAGGGATTACCTTGGCCCTAGAGGAGAGAAGACCTTACTGTTGATGCTGCCAAGGGGGAGAAAGTGAAACTTACAAGTAGAATTGGAAGGAAAGTAACAAGGAAGGAAGATTGGAGTTAAAAAATATGTCTGAAAACATGCAAGTGAACCTTTTATCATCACTGATAAGAAGATGGCTTTGTCAGTCAGCCGCTGGATCAAGTCTTGACGAAGCTCACATTGTTCTCCAGGTGAGGAACCTGGGGAAATGTAACCTGGAGGCCACAAAAGGAAGTTGGCGTGGGAGCTCTCCTGAGAACTCTCCAGGCCGCCCTCAGCCGCACAGGGTGCCTGTGAGGACAGGAGGGTGGGAGAACTCTCAGCGTAGGCCTGGCCATTAAAAAATTTTTTTCAGGGCTAAGGGTTTATGTCTCTGTCTACAGAGTTCCTCAGGTGAGTTTCTGGCGCATTCTTCCTCCTTTGTCAGATCACACGCACATTTGGCTCTCTGTGGGGTAGAAGGGAAGAGAACCGCTTTCAAGGAAGAGAATTTCTCATGAAGAACCCTGCTGATCCGAGGAACCCCTCCTCTCTACAACGGGCCTTTGCCTCGGAGCTTATGCGTCCAGAACAGACCCAAGGTAGCGCAGCGAAGAGTAGGCAGTGAGGTGTGTGTTCCCCAGATGGCAGCAGGCAGTTGTTTTTAATCTTCTGCCCAGAAGGTGCTCACAGGGTTTGGCTGCCTGCAACGTGGGGGCTGTGCCCAACCCAGCCCTCCTATCAGGGTTACTTGCAAACACAAGTAACAAGACACTGGGCACCACAAGGCAGGCTCAGTGCATCTTAGTCCCCCCTTTCTGTGGACTTGGCAGCTCTGGTGTACAGGGCGTTGGGTCACAAGGGGGCTCTGTGTGTAGAGCTCTCGCCCCCGCACTGAAATCGGGATGTGACATGGTAAGCTTTTCCCTCCATGCCTCTGTTCTCCTTGTCTCAGCAGCTTAAGTCTAGACCTCCTTCATCTGTGTGTTTTCCTTTCTACCAGCCTTAAAGGGACATTTTTAAAGAGGCAAAAAAGGCAGGAATGCAAGTTGAAAGCATTTATTGAGCCGAGCACTTTGTCCCCCTGGGCCTCAGTCCTCCTCTGTAGAAGTGAGTCTCACTATGTGACCACAAACGTGCTTCCCAGCTCTAAACTCTCTGCCGCCTCAAGGATGTTCAGAGCCAAGAATTCCACCTGGAGGAATCTATCCTAAACACATATTCAACAGAGGCAAAAACAAAGCGAAGAAACAGACCTCATGTGCTGGCAGATTTGAACCAAACCATGGTGAACAACTGAAAGTGATCTGAATGTCCAAGAGTGATTTAGTAAATAATATTCTAAAAGCACGATGGGATTAATTGTACACAACCATAAGAATGGTCATTATGCTGGCTATACGTGGACATTAAATAATGATTTATTACTTGATTTGAATTATTTGTTGATAGTTGCGGTGTGAATAGTTCTCAACCCCGCGGGCACTTTAGAATCTGCTGGAGCCCAGACCTTACTCCCGCAGAGCAGGTGCCGGTTCATCGTCTGTGGGGCTTGGGCTCTAGTGTCTCTTCTGAAGGTCCCCAGTGGATGCTCTGGTGCATCCAGCACTGTGAGCCTGGACGCTACCTGCCAGGCCCCTGGCTAGATGCCGCACAGCCACCAGAGTCCTGCCTGAACGTGTCCACAGGGCGCGTTCCACACTGAATGCAGTGGCTCTGGCTCCTTCTTTTCCCCATCCCACCTCAGCCCATGTTTCGGAAGCACAGGATGACATTGTTTATTTCTAACACTGATTACAGAAACTATTTTTGAGAGAGTTCTGGCTTATTTATTGCCCTAACAAATAACTGTTGGCCCTACATTTAATGAACTACATCCAGTGGAGCAAGACAGCCCCCAACTGATGCTCACAGATTCTGTGGGTGAGGAAACTGGTCAGAGCACGATAAGAATGCCTTTCTTCTCTACGGTCTCTGCCGTTGCCTCTGGAAGAACACACTATCTGAATTGACATCTGGTTGTCTGCTGGCTGGGCCCTGGAATCTTCTGAGGCATCTTTATGCGCATGTGTGGTACTTAGGCTGGGATGACTTAAAAGATGAGCTCAGCTAGGACTGCCAGGCAGAGTCCCTACACATGATGTGTCCATTGGCTGGGGCTTCCTCATGGCAGGAAGCTCATGGCTCTAAAAGCAGACACACTGGTGAGTAGGCAGAGGCTGTGTGGCCTTTCTGACCTAACCTAAGAAGTCAGTAGCTTTCGGGCTGCCATTGTAGCATAGTGGGTAAAACCACAGCCCGCAGTGCTGCCATCATCCCAGAAGGGGGTCAGTTTGAGTCCTGGCTGCTCTACTTCCCATCTAGCACCCTGCTAATGTGCATGGGAAAGCTGCAGAAGATGGCCCAAGTGCTTGGGGCTCTGCTACCTGTGTGGGAGACCTAGAAGAAGCTCCTGGCTCCTGGCTTCCATTTGGCACAGCTCCAGCTGTTGAGACCATCTGGGGAGTGAAGCAACAGATGGAAGCGCACTCTTTCTCTGTCTCTTCCCCTCTGTAACTCTGAATTTCAAATAAAGAAATAAATCTTTTAAAAAGGAAAAGTCAGTAGCTTTACTTCTACTGTACTCTGTTATTGAGGTAGTCACAAGCCTGCCCATATTTCAGAAATACTTTAGAAAGAAAGTATTTTACTTTACAAAGAAAGAAATAAAGGAAGGAAGGAAGGGAAGGTGGCAGCTTGATAGTTCATCTTTTTTGTTGTTGTTGTTTTTGTTTTTTTGTTTGTTTGTTTGTTTTTGACAGGCAGAGTTAGACAGTGAAAGAGAAAGACATAGAGAAAGGGCCTCCGATCCAAAGCCAGGAGGCAGGTGCTTCTCCTGGTCTCCCATGCGAGTGCAGGGTCCAAGCACTTGGGCCATCCTCCACTGCACTCCCGGGCCACAGCCGAGAGCTGGCCTGGAAGAGGAGCAACTGGGACAGAATCCGGTGCCCCGACGGGACTAGAACCCAGGGTACTGGCACTGCAGGTGAAGGATTAGCCTAGTGAGCCGCGGCGCCAGCCGATAGTTCATCTTTCATATGACTTAATCATTTTTGTAGCTCTTTTTAAATCTAACTACCCACCAGTCCTGTGTACTAATAATTCCTGAAGATAATTGTTGGTTACTGGGGCTTGTATAACTCAAGTAGTGAGTTAACTTGCCATAGGCTATATCCAGCAGTCACCTTGTCATTTCATATTGTCTCAGAGAATCCCAGTGCTGTGAGCCTGCGAGAGACTGCTCACCCTGTAGACTAGACTTGTAGGGTTCGCTAGGCGCCAGGCATCACAGGCACAAGATGAGGAGCAGGCCAAAGCCCACCTGCTTAGGTCTAATCCAACTTTTGTCCTTTCTCTTTAGGCTTTTGATATCATGAGAGTGACCCATGGCAGAGAACACAGCCTGATTGAAGATCTGATTCTCCTCTTAGAAGAATGTGACGCCAACATAAGAGCGTCCTAGGAAAACTCGTCAGAGGAAGAGACGGCTTACACACCTTTTTCGGATGCCTTACTGAGGTCACGCACTCCATACCCTGTTTCTTGTGTGACCCTCCCCTACAGGAAATGCTGTTCTGTGTTTATGTAGGTAAATAAAACAGACATGTAGTTTGCAAACTATGAGAATCCTTAGTTGTAGACCAGCACGATTACAATAAATACTAATGAATTGTTGAATTCCCACCTAGTAATTGTTTTCTTTGCTCACTCGTTGGTGGTTTTAATGTTTAAGATATCTACACTCAAGATAGAAAATGTTAATAAAAGCATGACAGAATAAGTTATAACTTTCTTTTTGGTCACATGTAGGGGTAATTTAATAAAAGTCACTGTTTTCACATTTGCTTCTAAGCAAAAACTGTTTTGGCAAGAAACAATTTTGAGACTGTTGTTTCTGTTCTTTGTGATAAATGTTTATGTCCATTGTTTACTTCTAAATACATTTTCAAGAAGTTTTATCCTAAATCCTAGAAAGAAGTCATTTCAAATGTTATTAGAAAAATAATAGGAAATCTTAATGCAAAAAATGTTTGTGAATGCTTCACGGCTCTTTGTAAATCTTTCCTGTGTGCATTTTAGAACTCTTTGTGTATGTCATACTTCCTCTCCCTTGCAGTTTTTTCCCTGTAATTCCCAAATCTGTGGTTCTTTGTGTGATATGCATAATATGATACTCACATTTATCCTGCAGTAAGCCAGGTCGTAGCATACTAGCTCAAATCACACTTGCTTTCTTTTCTTTCTCCTCTTTATTAGTTCCCAATTCTTTGGCCACTTTTTCTGCCTCAGACAAATACAGAAAATCTTTTCTTTTCCTCCTCCCAAAATAAATCAATAAATTCTTTTATGGCTCAGTGATGCTGTGAGCAGTGTTCTCTCATGCTTAGATGAGACTGGTAGTAACTGAAGCCCTTGGATCCCTGCAGCCTTTAGGCTGCTTACAGAGCACGCCATCTTCCACATTTATTTTGCAAATGAGAAGACGAGAGGGGGATAGCAGGATGCAGGGCAGCAGCCCACATTGCTCAGTCCTGTTCTCAAGCTCTCCCCACCCCTCCCAGAGGGACTGGCAAATCCTCAGGCCACGTGGTAGCACCGTGGCAGCCAGTGCCATCAGAATGACTCACGGACGTCGGCTTGAGTGTGAAGACGCCAGCCTTGCTTCGCAGCAGAGAAAGTGGACACCTGGGGACTGGAGTGCACGTGCTGAGCACCTGCTGACTGCTTTTGACCATCAGCACATGCGCGACACCCTGTGAGCTCCACAGCCTTTTCATGAGCTTGCTTCTGCTTGAGCAACCATCTGCCATGCATCGGGCACACCTCTAAAACCTGCACTGTCTCTCAGAGCCACAATAGCACAACAAGGTAGGTATTTGGAAAGCCCCATTTTATAGGTCAGGAAACTGAGCCCTGGGGCCAGGTGCCCTGGAATCCCTCCCCACTTACTGGCTGACCCAGAGAGGGACTCACTCTGTCCTTTTGAGATGCCAATTCTACCCAGTTCAACAGAGACATACGGAGTGGTTTCTGTGTTCTTGGGAAAAGAGAATACAAAGACTCAGTAAGACGTGCCATCATCTTCCAAACACACACTGGACAGCACTTGTGTCAGCTTTTATATAACAGACTGCTCCAGAGATGAGTGACTCAAAATAACACTGATTTAGTTCCTAATTCAGGAGGTCAGCAGTTTGAGCTGAACAGGTCTCTGGTTTGAGCCAGGTGTGGCTGGTTTCTTTGGGCTCACTCATTGTCTGCAGTTGGGTGGATCAGCTGGGGAAGGGAGACTGCCTGGTGCATGTAGCTCATTAGGGGAGCCCAGCCTTGATCGCATGGCTGCAGAGTTCCAGGCACAGTAAGTCGGCAAACCCTGATGTACAAGTGCTTTTCACGTCTTCGTGCATTATGTTTGCTAACAAGGAATGGAGAAAATACTCCTCTTTCCGAATAGCATGAGCTGAAGCCCCATTGCCAAGGCATGGGTATGTGGAGTGGAGGAAATTGTAGCCATGGATGCAGTCAGCAGGGTAGCCCTAAACCTTTTTGGTGTTTTGGAACACTTCATGAATATGATGAAATCGATAAACCATTCTCCTAGAAAAACAAAGACAGTTTGCTTGGGATCCGACTCCTGTGTCTATCACTGAAATCCCTGGGGTCCTTTGTCAAATGAAAAATAGACTTGCTGCTATGCGGAAACATGGGTGGAATTACTTTGCTACCTTTTCTGAAATTCAATAGAAAAACAACAACAAAATCCATTAAGAAAGGTTGGATAGTAACTTCCCTGCCCAATGAGAAGAGTTCACTGACAGAACTCTGTGTTTGCCAATTTTCTGAATGAAATTTATCAGTCAGTGATGATCCTGGATTAAGAGATTTGCCTTCACGCCTCCTAGAGAAAGCATGATAGGCTTTTTAAATCCCTCTTAGCGGCTTCCAGTTTCCTAAGAGGAAGAGGCCCTGCTTCTATCAACTTTTAATAGAAAGCAAACATTTAAGCCAGGTAAACGTTTACCAAACAACTTTACAGCAAAATAATTTTGGGGAAGGGGAAAGGGATGGAGTACATAATTTGAAAGCCGTGTCACCAGCAGCTGACGATTTATTGCCACCCCAGCCTCGGCGACTGCGATTTCATTAATCCATAGTCATTGTAGCGGCAGGCTTTTTTCACATCAGTAACTTGACGCCATTAGTTGCTCCTCTGGGATGAGAACACATTTAAACTGAAAATGAACACGCTGGGCATAATTTATAGCCGTGCCACATGAGTGCCAGGAGTGCAAGGGAGCAAGGCTGCCTGGAAAGCCTGCTCGCAATGGATGCTGAGGGCCTGGCTTCTGCTCAGGCCAGAGCGCCAGACAGCCACAGACCACAGAGGCCCCTCAGGCAGGCTTCACTGCGGGGCGGAAGAGAAATTCCATACGTGGGAGCCTGCCCTTGCATTCTGTCTCGAAGATTCTTTTCTGGCTCAATCGGGAGTTGATGTTGTACTCAGTCAGAGTAGCCCACTGGGATTCCACAGGGAGAAGATTGGGGGAATTATCTATGGCACGTCATAAAATCCTCATGACGTGCAATCATTGATGGAAGCCTCTGGAAGAAACTGGAATCTTCCTTTCCCCTCAGGTCTGTAAGAGATTGAACTGGTTGAGGAGAAGGACCAGCAACACTCCAAAACTGAGATGCTGTCTTGGCTTTCTGAGGTTCATAAGCCTTAAAATGCTCTTGGCTTAAAGTCAACATATTCAAAACCAATTCAGTGCCTTCCCTGTTCAGCTCAGCACCGTCACGGTCCTTCCACTCTTCAGCACAAACTCAGTCATCGATTTTTCTTCTTTATCAAGGGAATCGATGCTGCCCGTCCTCTGAAGGGCTTTTAAAATTTCAGCCTTTTTGCTTCTTACCATTCCCAGTCCCTTAGCAGACTGCCAGCACCTCGTTCCTCAACTACTGCAGAGACCTCACAAGTCTCACCTGTCATCCTACCAGCACAGCTGCCAGACTAGTGATCTGAAAATACCTGCTTCATTTCCTCTTGTAACTCCTCGGCTCAAAAACTAGGAGTGGCTCCCCATTGCCACCCGAAGTCCATTCTTCAGACTGGCATTCATGGCCTCAAACCGTTGGATCTTGGATTTCATGATTCTCGCCTGCACCTGCCATTCTAGCTAGATGTAGTCTCTCCATCCAGATCTCCTGAATTATTCCTTTTTCCCTGCCATTCCCTTGACTTGGTAACACTGAATAAATTCCTTTTCTTCTCCATCTCAATTCATCCATTCTCAAAGGTGTAGCCCAAGACATCACCTTTTCTTTCCTTTTTAAAACTCAAATAGTCTGTAACTATGGTTATTGTTTGTGGTTCTCAGTTTGTATCATCTCTGGGCACTGGGATCTTCCAGGTGGCTCCTGTTTTAATTTAGGCTCTTTAAGATGAAGAGTGCTTTAATAATTAGGAGAGACACACATAGAAATGTTTCATTACTTGCAGGTTTGGAGGTGGGAAGGAGGGTGCACTGCAGGCCACACACAGATGTAACGGGAGTACATGGAAAGAAAGGGAAGAGTGGACCTGGCCACTCGCTTTTCCTGGGGTCCAGGCTGAGGAACAAAAACATCAGAGAAGCACAGTCATGACTGAGAAGTCTCAAAAATGATGAAATCCCATCATCTGTGACCACATGGATGGCAGGAGAGGTCATTATGTTAATTAAGTGAAGTAAGCTGGGTACGGAGAGATAACTGTATGTAGAATCTGAAAAAGTGGATCTCCTCCAAGTTGAGACTGAAATAATGACTACTTGGAGCTGGGGAGTGGGGGAGACAGAGGAATGCGGGGAGTCCTGTCCGTGGGTACCATGTTACAGCTGGGTAGGAGGAATAATTTGGGAGCTCCGATGTACAATAGGATGACTATAGTTAACCATAAAATATTGTGTTTTCAAAATAGCTGGAGGAGATTACTTTTAATGTGCTTACCAAAAATGATAAATGTTTGAGGTGATGGACATGTTAATTATTCTATTTCTATCAATGCATAATTTTTACATATATTGAAGCTTTGCACTTCATACATATGTATGATTATATATCAGTCAAAAATAAAATCAAAATCAGGTTTAGGATAAAAGGTTGTTCAATGATTTAAAAAAAACCCAACACCCAGAGTTGCTCTTTTTCTCCTTCCATATTTCTGCTTCCCTCATCACAAAATAGTTTTGAAATTGCTATGCTACAACTGCTACCAACCATTTTTTTTCCTTAGATGAAAACGTTGCATTGTCAGAACGCTGTGTTTGAAAGTTACTTGAATTATCCTTTCTGTGTGATTGTGCAGGCAGTTTGATACCCAATCTGGTTTACTGTTATTCAGCTTTAGAGTATCCTATTATTGTTGATATATATTGACATATGAGTATCAGCACACATGTATAATCCAGGTCAAGCATTCCCTAATCTGAAAATCAAAAATCTGAAATGTTACAAAATCCATCACTTTTTGAGCAGACACAATGCCATAAGTGGAAAATTCCACATCATAAGATTTTGTTTCGTGCACAAAATTATTTATTTTGTAAAATTAAAATCAGTCTATATGTGTAGAATATATGAAGCATAAATGAATTTCGTGTTTAGACTTGGGCCCCACTCCCAAGATTTCTTATTATATTTATGCAAATATCTCAAGATCTGAAGAGATTTAAAATCCCGAACAGTGCTGGTTCCATGTATTTTTGATAAGGGGCACTCAGCTTGTGTGAATTCATATATCACGTTTTACTGCTAGCAGTAATGGCGTAAAGAATGTGTCTGCAGGGTGGCTCCCTAGAAGTGGAGCTGCTGAGCCAGAGGATTAAACGCATTTGTAGTTTCATTGTCAAATTCACATCAGGAGAGGCCAGGAACACTGCCTGTTTTTCCTCAGCTTTGCCTGCAGAGTGAGTTATCCAATTTCTAAAGCTTTTGCTAAGGATGGTTTTAATTTCCAGTTTTCTTCTTAGTCAAGAAGGGAGTATTTTTGAATATTTAAAAACCTTTTGTCGGCCGGCGCTGCGGCTCACTAGGCTAATCCTCCGCCTTGCGGCGCTGGCACCCCGGGTTCTAGTCCCGGTTGGGGCGCCGGATTCTGTCCCGGTTGCCCCTCTTCCAGGCCAGCTCTCTGCTGTGGCCAGGGAGTGCAGTGGAGGATGGCCCAAGTGCTTGGGCCCTGCACCCCATGGGAGACCAGGATAAGTACCTGGCTCCTGCCATTGGATCAGCGCGGTGCGCTGGCCGCAGTGCGCTGGCCGCGGCGGCCATTAGAGGGTGAACCAACGGCAAAGGAAGACCTTTCTCTCTGTCTCTC